TATAAACCAAATTAACTGTGATTAAAAATTAATTAGTTTTTATTTAAAAAATTAATTTTAATGGTTTGTTAGAAAATTAATCAAAACACCGGAATACGATTTTTTGATATAATGAATTTAACTAACAATTTATTGTACTCGCTTCGGCGGTACATATACTAAAATTGGAACAATTTATTACACGGTTTTGCTCATAAAATTTAATTAACAATTTATTTCATAGTTTTGCTCGTAAAATTACACCATTTTGTAATGTCGGGTAGCATCAGAACAGGACACTCATATATTTTGTAGTTTATTTCTAACTAAGTACATGTAATTTTGTCATTATATTAATTACAACATGTTATTTTAATGTAAACCAAATTAAACGAGATCAAAAATTCATACGTTTTTATAAACATTGTTTAATTAGATAGTTAGGAGTAACTATATTTAAAACAATTAAGTTTAACAAACAATTTATTAGATGGTTGTGCTCATAAAATTTAACTAACAATTTATTACAAGGTTTTGCTCAAAATAGTGCATTAAGAACAAAAGATGCGTTGAACGCTGTGGACTGTACGCGACGTGTACTTGCGTCGGATAGATGTGCACACCCCACCAAAACGTGGCAAGGCATCGGGCAGCGTCGCATGGCGAAGCATCGGGTAAGTGTTTCCGGCTTTAAAGTGATGAGGCCGTGTCAACGCCTAACCCGTCGCGGCCAATCCCCCCCCCCCGAGTTCCAAATTAAACTCCATTTAATAATTGTACTTATTAATCTTTATTTCTGTTCCTTTGCCCCTATTTTTCGGTCAGGGAAAGACCCACCAACAATTAACTTTTAATTTTCTTGTATTTTGTCAACAGCACGATATAGTGCGTTATAAAATCTAAAGACCAAATTAATTTCAATAAACATTATATTTCAAATAATTTCTTTAAATTTATATACCTGTTCATAAGCCAAGTAAACCTAAACTTCCCGGCTCCTATCGGTCAATTAGTTTTCTATCCACTATTGCGAAAATTCTTGAAAAGTCTTCTCCGAAGATTATTGTTCAAAATTGATAATTTCATCCGACAACTCAATAGGTGCAACGAACTGACACACATTTCCTCTTTTCTTGCACACAAAGAGCATCGCTTGGGTCTTCTTGATTTGGAACAAACCTTCGATCGACTCTGGCACTCCTGCTTGCTTTGATAACTGAAGTACATACTCCCTCAACTGACAGACCGATTCTGCCTAGTCCGTCAGGGAACCGAATGGACGCATTACGGCTGGTGTTCTTTGGCTATTTCTTTTTTAAATATACACTACAGATATGCCTTACACATGTTAACATTTCAACACATTGACACATCTTACTAATCATACACGATTCTTACACTAAGTTGAACCCCTCTCTCAAAAATACAACACCTGAATGAATTATCTTAACAGTATGGCTCACCAAATTGAAAATGAAAATAAACCTAATGAAAAGCGTTACAGATGAATTTACATTATAAAATACTAAAAAATCTGCTTGGATCTAAAATAAGACATTAAAAATAACTTTTAATTTGTAAAATAATGATAAGATCTCTCGGGCCGATCCATTCTGTCTAAAATTCTCACTCCAATTATAATGCTCCCTTTTATATTTCAAATCGTATTATTCTTTTACAACCCATTTGTACGTGGCCTAATCAAATCCTGTACCAAAAAATTATATCGACCACTTAACATGCACAATAATCCTTTAGTTCAACACATATTAATTCCAACCGCAGAAAATCTTCCGAGACGATTAATTCGAATGTAGCCCCGAAACGCTCAGTGAAAATTAATGATAGGTTTCAGTGTGAAGGAGAATTGTCACTGAGAAACTTCTACCAATGATTCAAACTACTAACATAAGAAAATATTTACTTAATGCATTTTTGTCCTTATAAATAACACATAAAAGTTTTGAAAAATTATATATTCAGGATGTACCATAATTTTTTACTCTTTCTTTCAAACAATTCAAATTAACAAGTTAAAAGCCAACAGTTTGAAAGTGCAAGCAATATTCTTCTGTGGCATACCAAATGTGGATATTTTGATGGAAAAATTTTTATTTTGAAGCAATTATGACTGATTGCGAATTTATTCATTGGCAATTATAAAAATGTGATTTGTCCATTCGGATTTTACAATGCTAAAAGTAATAAAACTAAATTATTGAGTTGATATTCCACAATACAAAGTAATATCCCTGGTCGTAAAACAAGACTAGCGAATTAGTTCACATCAGAAAACAGTTTAAATTCAGCACTTATATTGAATTGTTTAAGGTATATATTTAATGATATCTAAAAATGTTAATTAGGCACAGACGGACTAAGAAGGGTTGAAAAAGTCACAAAGCATTTTACAAATGTAAAACAACACGAAACTGATTTAAAAATTAATTACATACAAGTTGAAATTGACACCACTTTTCACCTGCACGTGGCAGATCAAAAATCTCTTTTTTTCATAACGATCACAAATAATGTTGATTAAATTAGGTATATAAAATTGAATTTGTGGCACGTTTATATACTGGCCCAATGCCTGTTTCGGAGTGTGCAATCAATTCTAACATGAGTACAAAAAATGACTGAAACACACACACACTCATTTTATGTCATTTTGACATTTTTGTACGCTGAGAAAAAAAAACATTTGCATAAAAACAATTTCAAATTTTTTCATCGAGTGATACTCTCCAAAAGTTACGTTAATCAAGTAGATATTATTTATTTATTACATAATTTTACATAAAGCGGAGAGGGTAGTCAATACTTAAACCTACTAAATCATTGATTAATTTTTAATCACACTCACTCTCATTTAGCAGGTCACCGGGGTCAATGACTTTTGAATAGTAGAAGATAATTATTGGGAAGAGGGTAGAATGAAAGTGGTTTCGTACGTGAGTGATAGAGTGATGAAGGTTTATTTGAAAATTTTCGAAACTGGGTGTTCCGACAATTTATATGAGTCAATAAAACCGAATGTTGACAATGGATCTATGGATTCTTGATTGGTCTGGATTCTGATGAGATGGAAAGATTTTAATTAAGCCCCATAGCCGTATATTGGTTTGAGTATGGAGATGTATGTGAGGATTTTGTTAAGGGGGGACAGTTCGTTTAGGATTTTTTTCTGTAGTCCAATAGTGTTTAGCCTAGCGTTTTAAGTAATCGGTATCGTCGGTTAATTTTCGCCTTTTGAAAAGTGTATGGAGGTTCCAGGTCAGTCGTTTGTCTAGACGCAGCCTGAAGTAGTGGATGAAGTTTTCGGTAGAAAGGGTGAGGGTGTTTTGGGATCTTTTGGTATTGAGTTTAATTTGCATTTTTTGAACTATTGTCCAATGGAGAATTGATGTGTCTATTTGATTCGGTGAGCTATAATGGGATCGGAGGGATATCAGCAGTATATACTGATAGGGAGTGCAGTAACAAACTTAAATCATTATCCTGAGGAAAGGTCTCGTCCGCCTTGTACAAAGAAGAGTCGCAGTATCCAATTCATACTCCAAAGTACTTATCGACCAGGTTGTAGGGATGTTCCCATCTTTATTCATGGATGTTAACCCATGAGGGTCTTTAACGTCCGGACTTATCCCCGAGGGGACATCTCAGACGCCAAGTGTTCTCAAAGAGAATACCAGGAAGATTTTACATGCATGGACTTGCCACATCCCTTGGTTAGCGAGGTGCTAGCCCAGGCTAACCAAGTTCAGAAGTGCCCATATATGTGTCTTAAAAACGGCAGTTTTGTGGTTTCCGGCACACCTTTTCAGCCGTGCCTATCACCACCCCCGGTGAGATAGAGAAAGCACTCTATCTACGGCTCCGGTTGGCCGGCACCCTCCAGCGAAGGTACAATTTGTTTACAAACCACGACCACCACGAGTCCAACCTCAATTAGTAGAGTCATTTGGATACTCTACTCCCCTGGTGCAGTATTATTGTTAAGGTGGGACTGATCACCGACTCGGGAGTTCATACGAACCCCCAACTGATGCCCGAGTTGCCTGAGTGGTGCGGGTTCAGTAACCCAGGAGCGGGCCAAAGCGGAGGTGGCGAAGGGAAGGAAAAAGGAAAGGGTAAGAAAGGATAGGGAAGGTAAGGAAATTTTGCCTCCATCATTTGTTACCCCTAGGCACGGGAGCTGATGGTAGTAATTGCCTAGGTCCACAGTGAAGGTTACCCTAACTTCACGATGCAGAAGTGTTTACAAATTTTGAAGTCCGTGAGTTTTCAAAAACCCAAGTGCCAGACTCGACATCGAGAAAGACCGCTGTGCAGCATTTCTTTCTCTTAAGGGATGTTACGAAAACGTCCACAACAAATGGAACTGTTGTACCATAGAATGGTGAAACCTAAATCAAAATTGATGGTACAAAAATATCGATGAGACGATAATCGTTCAGTAACTGTCGATATTTTAAGCTTATTTTCCTCAACCGTTAGCCAATTTCAATTTGATTTGACTGTCTCATTAACATTTTAAATCTACGTAGATGTACAATATGTAGATGCATTAGAACCTAATGGCTAACTTTTACCACGTAGAGATGACACTTGTTTTACAAAAGTCCGAACAAGAAAAAATTTGAGCTTCCCAAGATTATCGTATTTGATATGGATATTTAAATTTTCTAAATTTCCTTTATTAATGGTATTAATCGTATAATAGTCCAATATGACAATAATTTAGGTTTACAATTATAGATGCCTGTCATGTTCAATTCCTGGAACCCGCTGTTTATGCTCCAAGTGTACCGGCTTCATATTAAATATCGAAACGCTTTTACAAGCTAGTTTTTAGTTTAGTAACTTTCCTGGTTTATAAAGGAATGAAAAAACGACATGTAATGTTTAATAAGAGTAGAGAACTTTTCTTCGTACAGAGTTCGTATTTTTATTGTGTAGCATGTTAAAGGCCGCTTTTGCTTCCGCTTCTAGCATATTTTTGTCCGAAATGTTCACAGTGTTTCTGCCAGGGTTGCATGACGGTCCTGAGCCTCACCCTCGTCGCCTCGCTCACCGTCTACTCCGCAGTCGTTCTTCCAAAGGGCGGTTACTACTTCAACGTTTCCGGCCTGGCGGCCTGCGATCCTTTCTACACCCGGCCGAGTATCAGGATTTTGGCAGCTTGCTCCTTCTACTTCCCGACGACGATGCTTCTCATGTACTGCTATGGGTCAGCGTTTCATGCCAACAAATTCAGGATAAAGGGTCATATCGGGGTCACAAACTCGAACGACATCGGAAACTCAACCTTACAAAAGGTAAGTACTTTCTTTTTTGACACAATATAATTTAATTCTGTCAGCAATGGAATAGCAGCAATGGAAGAAGAATTTGAATTTTATGTGAAAATACAGTGAGAGATAAGGTCGTTTGACTTTTTTAATAAAATGTACTGGAAAGACATTTAGAAGCATAGAAATTATAGTATTTTCAATTTTAATTTGATTGGACTTATTAAACTCTTATGTTTAAACCTTGTAGATATATATAAAGTTATTGAAATTCTCTTAATTTTAAAGGTCCATCACTACTTATAGTGTAGAACCAATGATACTGGATCTAATTGTGTTTTATTGTTTATTGAAATGTAATTTATATTTCAAAATCTTTTACAAAACTTTCATTGCCAATAAATACATAGAGTGGCAAGGTGGAGCCAATCATTTCGAAAATATTGGATATTTTATTAACTATAAATTTCAACTACCAGCTGAATAAATTTATTTGATATGTTCCTGGTTTTATTTTATTTGATATTATTTATTTTTCTAAATCAAATTGATGACGATTTTCACATAACGTAAAACTATAACTTGTAAAGAGTTTCATCCATAAATATCGTCTTTAAATTGATGGATTAATTAAAATGTTTAAACCCTAGAGCAATAAAATGCACCACTTGTTATATCTTTAATCATTTACAATTCCATAAAATTTTATAGATACCTTAGTGCTCTATTGACATTTTTAAGGAATAGTATGCCATAGATTTAATTGGGTCTAATCGATTAGGAATAAATATCTATCATAAAGTCCGAACTAGTGTAATACACAAATGTGATCAATTTCTTCACGCTTTATTATTTCTGAATCGTGTTTATTTAAATCATCTCTCGCCTTTATAGCTGGGATGTAATAAACGGTAAACATTCTAATAGAGAAGCTTTAAGTTTTTAATGATATAATATAGAAAGTTAGATATATAGATGGATAGATAGATAAATAGATAGATAGATAGATACAAAGAGAGAGAGAGCGAGAGAGAGATTATTTATATTTGTTAATAAAGAGAGAGAGAGAGAGATTATTTGTATTAATTAATAAAGAGAGAGAGAATGAATTAATTAATTTAGGTCGCAAAATACCTCTCCTACGATTAATCAGAAATTGGGGGGGGTGTGGTGTGACCTGGTAAAAAATGGCCAACCACCGTTCTGTTTGATTCTTTTATCTGCTTGTAATTGTTTACAATTCTATTTACGTCATGATGAGTGGCTAGACTTCCGTGTAATTAAACTCATTTTGCATAGCGAGAAGGTAAAGTGACGTAAAACAAGCTTTATAAACGTCAACGCGAGGGTGGTATTTGAGTGGTTACCTACGGTGAAATACTGAAACAATAAAAAATAAAGGGACAATGCCTTAGTGTGGATTAAATAAATAATTAAAAAAGCTATGGTAGAGTTGGTATTTGTCAGAGAGACGAGCCCTCGGGCCAGGCGCGCTCCACATAAAGAATAGTTAAACAGAAATATGACTTTTACCCCCTCATGGTCTAAATGTTACCATTCTCGTAACACTTTCACCATCCGAGCACGTATTTATAATTTAGAGGGGTTAAATTTAGTATTCGTGTTTGTACGGCACAACAGGGGGCTAAACTAATTTGGATACGTAGCGATAACTTTCTTCGGGGCTAGCTACAGCCTGGAGCCCAACGTCCTGGATTAGAAGGCTTATTACAACCAGATACCGGTCCCTTCTAAGTGCTTAGCAAAAGGAAGCGCGGCTCTTACTGCACGCCAACTTTGCCAATGGAGTGAAATTCCCTTCTGCACGTGTGGGCTTGGACTTCCCCGCCATTTAAAACGACGATGGCCTCGTGACCGTACAACTAAATAAAAGAGAGTTCCAGCAATGGCCGGTTTCTCTCCCACTGCATCCTGGCCTGACAAATCTGTCGGATTTGTATATAATTATCTATACTATTTGCCCGATAAAAAATTATGCGTGCAGATAGAAATAAATAAATTAAATTAAAAAATAAAACAGATCTGATTCAAAATACACACTTTGAAAATAAATTGATGGTATACAGCGTTTGCAAAGATTTAATCCAAGCCGTGCGCTATATTGAACATTTGATCTAAAAATATAATTATCGAAAATTCAAAGCACACCAAATAGAATTCAATTAAAATAGATGATTAAATTGAACCAGACTTTATTTTAAAATTAACGTATATGAAATCAAGATAAAATCTCTAGTTATATTTACTAATTAGCTCATCGCATCGAAATTTCTATGTTAAATACAGATTATATTAACATACAAACACAACAGAGTAAAGCTTTTTTTTATATATAATTATAATATTAAGGTTTACATCCATCACATCAAGATAATAGGCTTTTTTCGTAATTGTAAATCCAAATAAAGAATACAATTTTGATTTGAGATCTTTTTCGTCAGAATTGCGAAAACATTTTGAGTTGTACAGAATTTGAAAAGTAGTCAAAAAATTATTTTTGGTTTGCATTTATTAAATACAGGAAGGAAGTTTTAAAAAGGTCATTTTTAAGCACGGGGACGGCCTTTAGGCGACTTGATTCACTTTCATCTTGTACTCTGGGGATACAAAGATGATCATGTAAACCCCGAATAAGTTAAGGTCTTTTGGTAATGGGCTTTTACATATACACCGGGCCCGGCACTTGTAAAATATTTAAAAGTGTTTTAAACAAACTGGAATACATTAAACGGCCAAATACACAATGTTAAAAGGAAAGCTTTTACATTTAAATAAATCAGAAGAAATGGAAGAAGAAGCCCTCTTGTGAGGGATATCTAGGAAAACCTTTGTATTTAATATGTACTTTGTCTCATTTGCAGGATTAATGCTAGAATGTCTTTAGAGACTGCAATAAATAAATTCCTTTTGTCCATCAAGTTAAAGTTTATCTAATTTTGTACATTGTATAATTTGCTTTCTCATTTGTTTTTCTATCAAATTATTATACAGGGTGTTCTTTTTAGATGGCCGGGCTAAATTTTTCTTAAACCAATGAAGCTATAAAGAATAAGAAAATTCGTGTTTAATATTTTTTAATCTAGGTTCCAATTTTTAGCTATTTTTGGAGAGAAATTATAAAGGATATCTCAAGCCCACTCCAACATCAAAATTTCAAACACCACCCTATACTTCCTGAAACATCATTTTACAGGACGTTTTACTCTGAAAACAATGGTGCAATCTGATTTTAAGTTGGTCAAAAAATTACGAAGTTATGGCAAAAAGTTTGAAAAATTGCATTACGTTTGTTTCGTTGTGAATTCCAATAATTTCCTTCTTCACTAAATTAAACATTAATTGCCTTTAATGTTTACATTTTGTCAGACATTATGAAAGCAAATTGTTATTATTTTGTGTGGTGTTTAGTGACCGTTGATTAATGATTATTCCGAGATCGTGAGATAAGAGGGTAAAGCAACATATCATAATAATTGCAAAAAACCCAAACAAAATCCTACAGCACTGGCTACCCACCAACACAATTTCGACTTCAACAATCCAAAAATATTACACACAGAACAAAGCAAATATAAACGTAACTTTTTGGAAATAGTTTACATCAACAGGGATAAACACAGCATCAATTACAGAATAGACACATGTAAACTCAGTCGGAGGTACGCCAATATCATTAATCAAATTCAATATCGATAACATACATATATCATCATCACATCACACAAAACATATAATACAACATATAAAACTATCATCACAATCCACACATCCAACATTTCTACATAGTCTAATTCTTCAACAATTTGGCTTTCCTTTCCCCGTCTATATAATCCTGAAAAGATAACCAGGCCGAACCATTCCCCTTTTTTCCTATTGTCGGCTCCTTTCACCTCAAAGAGGCCGGCTTCTCACATAAAAATGTCTTTCTATTCCAGACTTCCCTCCCCACTCCTTCAAAATCCAAACATAAAACATCAATATCTCACTGGCACTCTCAACACCACAGACAAGAATGACACATCTACACGGAAAACACTTTGATTGAATCTAAAATTTTCTAGCATTGTATAAATTCAATTTTTATTAATCTAAAATTTCTAGCATTGTATAAACTCATTTTTTCACATCCTACATGTATTTGTAAAATTTAAACAATGTTTATAAATCCCAGACTCAGAAGATGATCTCAATAAAGATCGAAACGTTGGCACAATAAAGAAAATGTTTTTCTAAAAGCTATGTCACACCAGACCGCACCTCACGATCTCCGAACAATCATTGTTATTATTGCTATTTTTGTTGTTATTCCTGGAAGTAAATAAATTTGGCAACCTACCTATCATGTACCTATTATAATGTACTTATTAGTTACATTCGGTATTCCAAGTATCCATTCAAAATGGGCCAAAGAGCACAGTACGATTGCTTTATTGATAGTGGTGGTTTTGCGCGTCGTACTCCCAGAACTTTCCAGGCCGCCCCAGAGTAAAACACAAAACGTTTGTTCGTGTTGCTCGCAATAAGAGTGCTGAAGAATCCAAGTTTACATCTAATGGGATACTAATATGGGAACTGCTAATAATGGGATACCGTTGAAATTTTCGAACAACAGCAAAGGAAAATTCGAGAATTTCGTACTCATGTCACAAAAGGTGGTTCACAGTATCAACAAAGTTTGGTGTGGACTTCTCGGAAATGATTTAATCGGGTCTTATTTCTATGAAAATAATTTAAATGGTGCTCAGTGCCTCAATTTTACTAACACTATTAGTAGATGTTCCTCTGCAACAACGACAAAGTATGATTCTCCAGTTTGATTATGCCGGTGAAGAGTGGTTAAAAAGAGCAAATTTTTGCACCTTTACGCAAAGCAGGGAGTTCGAACGTGAAATGTGATTAATAAATAACCAACCAAGAAACTGTTTTTTTTTTGGGGGGGGGGTTAACTTTTTGCTATTACTTTTTTTTTGCTATCTAAAATGGACACCCTGTATATAGCTTTTTTATTACCGTTTCGAATTTTTTTTCTTGTGACTGAGTGTTCAATGTTTATAAATGGCTTCACAGACTTTAGCAAACAAATATTTCCAT